CTGTGGGTCTGGGGTGGAGCGTCCTGTATATGTCTATTAGGTCTGCTTGGTCCAGCTCTGCATTCAAGTCCTGGATATCCTTGTTAATTTTCGGTCTCACTGATCTGTCTAATACTAACAGTGGAGTGTTGAAGTCTTCCACTATTATTGTTTGGGAGTCTAAATCTCGTTTTAGGTCATTAAGAACTTGCTTTATGTATCTGGGCGCTCCTGTGTTGGGGGCGTATATATTTAGGATAGTTAGCTCTTCTTGTTGCTTTGATCCTTTTACCATTATCCAGTGACCTTCTTTGTCTCTTTTGATCTTTGTTGGTTTGAAGTCAATTTTATTAGAGACTAGGATAGCAACCCCCACTTTTTTTTGTTCTCTATTTGCTTGGTACATCTTCTTCCATTCCTTTGAGTCTATGTGTGTCTTTGTACGTGAGATGGGTTTCCTGAATATAGTACACTGATGGGTTCTGACTTTTTATCCAGTTTGCCAGTTTGTGTCTTTTGACTGGGGCGTTTAGGTCATTTACATTCAATGTTAATATTGTTATGTGTGAATTTGATCCTGACATTTTGTTACTGACTGGTTTTCTTTCCCATTAGTTAACTCATTTTCTTCATTGCATTTTTGGTCTTTGCCAACTGCTTTGCTTTTGCAGTGACTGGTACTTGCTCCTTTCCGTGCTTAGTGTTTCTTTCAGGAGTTCTTGTCGGGCAGGTCTGGTGGTGACAGAATCTCTCAATAATTGCTTGTCCATAAAGGATTTTATTTCTCCTTCACTTATAAAGCTTAGTTTGGCTGGATATGAGATTCTGGGTTGAAAGTTCTTTTCTTTAAAGATGTTGAATATTGGCCCCCACTCTCTTCTGGCTTGTAGGGTTTCTGCTGAGATCTGCTGTGAGTCTGATGGGCTTTCCTCTGTGGGTGAACTGACCTTTCTCTCTGGCTGCTCTTAGCATTTTTTTCCTTCATTTCAGTGCTGGTGAATCTGATGATTATGTGCCTTGGGGTTGCTCCTCTTGAGGAATATCTTTGTGGTGTTCTCTGTATTTCCTGGACTTGAATGTTGGCCTGACTTTCTAGGTTGGAGAAGTTCTCCTGGATAATATCCTGAAAAGTGTTTTCCAGCTTGGATTCCTTCGCTCTATCACATTCAGGTACACTGATCAAGCATAGATTAGGTCTTTTCACATAATCCCATATTTCTTGGAGGCTTTGTTCATTTCTTTTCACTTTTTTATCTTGTCTCGTCTTCTCTTTTTATTTCATTGAGTTGATCTTTAATCTCTGATATTTTCTTCTGCTTGATCGATTTGGCTATTAAAACTTGTCTTTGCTTCACGTAGTTCTCATGCTGTGCTTTTCAACTCCATCAAGTCACTTATGTTCTTCTCTAAGCTGGTTACTCTAGTTAGCATTATGTCTAATTGTTTTTCAAGGTTTTTGGTTTCTTTGCATTGATTTAGAACATGTACCTTTAGCTCAGAAAAGTTTATTATCCACTTCTGAAACCTGTTTCTGCCAATTCATTGCACTCCTTGGTCAAGTTGTGATCCTGTGTTGTTGAGGAGTTGTGATCCCTTGAAGGAGAAGAGGTGTTCTGGTCTTTGATGGTTTGATCTTTTTTGTGCTTCCCCCCCCCCATCTTTGTGGATTTACCTGGCTGTGGTGTCAGGAAGCTGCTTGATGAGGTTGCATGTCTGCTTGTGGAGGCACTACTGGGTTTCTAGGGACTCCTTCAGTTTACTCGGGAAGCTTCCGTGCCTGTTTTTGTTTATACTCGGAGATTAGACCTGCCTCTTCCGCTGACCTGTCGGCACTGCTGGGTTGTCAAGAACACCATCCCATTGCTACGTAGGCTTTCTGTTTTTTTGTTAAAACATGTAGCCCAGTCCCACCCCTCTAGTGGTGGGTTGTACCCTTCCTCCACTGGGCTGGATCATTCAGGGTTCATCTCAGACTGTGGCACTGGCTGCGCAACCCACTAGAGTCGGAGCTTCAACCCTCTGGGGTTTGTGGTGGAGGGTAGGGACCCACCCAGCCGCACCAGACAGTTTTCCCCTTTCAGCTTCCTCTCTCTCCAGTCATGGGGTAGGGACCTGCCCAGCTGTTCCTGCTTACAGCTCCCTCTCTCTCTGGGTTGGGGAAGGGGGTGATGGCTCAGTCCGAGGGCTCTTATTTAACTCCATGCTTGTAATTCCCGGTGCTTGACTGGCAAAGATCCCCTGTTCTTTATATTGCTGAGGCTTTGTGGGAGGTGCTATATCTGGACCAGAGTGCCAGAAGGCAGCCTCCGACTTGCCAGTCAGATGTACTTTCTGGGTGAAACAGTACCCCTCCCGACATCGGTCTGCCCTGAGTGGGCTTTGCTCACCATCAGACCAGACCCATTGAAATGCACCTGGTACCTTGGTTGGAGCTAGGAGATCTCTGGATTTCTGGGTCTCTCTCGCTGGGTGTTGTGCACTGGAGTTGTGTCTAATCAGCCATCCTGGATCTTCTGATCATTCATTATTACTTAGAATGTAAATACTTGGTGGTAAGATGGTAGACTATCTATTGAGAAATGAAATAAAGATAGATCCAAAGTTACAACTCCTTCAAGTTACCATGTCTGTCCCAACAGTGACTCAGACACCATGTGAAGAGAGAAATTAAAACCTTATTCTGAACTAATTTCTCAGTCTGTTCACCAAAAGAGATTTGGCTCTTGACTACTGACCTTCAGGCTTTATTCTTCCATTTTTTTCCCTTACTTTGTCATGCAGTCTCAAAGTTGATTTGTCCAGCTATTATCTGGGTTCCTTTGAGAAGAATTCTGCTAAGAATTTTCTACTAAACATTGCTTTAGGAAACATCTCAAATTGCTGCAGTACAAAGAAATTACTAACCAATAAACATGACTTCAATATTTTTAAGTTATGTTAAGAGATAGATAGCTTCCTCTCATACTAGGTTTTGAATTGTCCAGTTTCTGATTCAGTTTAGAACAGTAAATTTGAAAACACCAAGCTTATACATTTAGTCTGTTCTCATGTTGTTACCTGAGACTGGGTAATTTATAAAGAAAAGAGGTAATTAGCTCATGGTTCTGCAGGATAACCTAGAAGCATGGCTGGAGAGGCCTCAGAATATTACAATTAATATTTTATAAATTATTAACAAATATTACAAAATATTAACAAATGAGAATGACAGATAAAGTGTCTTTGAGGAAGGCAAAGAAGGCAGCACCTCTTACACGGCTGGTGCAGGAGGTATAGAGAGCAAGCGGAGGTGCTACATGCTTTTAAACAACCATATCTTGGGAGAGCTCACTCACTTGCATGAGAACAGCAAGCAGGAGATCTGCCCCCACAGTCCAGTCACTTCCCACGAGGCCCCTCCTCCAACACTGGAGTTTACAATTTGTCATGCAATTTGGATGGGGACACAAATCCAAACCATGTTAATAACCAAATACATTATTTCTATGTTGAGAACACTGTGCCTCTAAAGTTGAAAGCAATATTAAAAAAAAATTTTTTTAAATAGCTTTTATTGGATTTTCAGCTACATACAAATAGGATTTGAAATGCATGCAATTCCATTTTAAAAACCATAAAAAATAAATTCCACATGATTTCTTAATCACTTTCTACTTTTGCCTGTAGTTATAAGAGAGTATAAAATAGTTGAAAATTAGTGAGGATGATAATGATCATGATGACGATTTAGTGTCATGTAGAAATAGAAAACCTAATGTGCCAGTTGTAGACATTTGACACCCTGACTTTGACCAACACATTTGGATGGTGTCAAAGGATGTTTTTGGATACCCCACAAAGAAAAATCAGCAAAATGTCTATGAATGCTAAACTTAGTTCCCCTAACATGGGGAACTTTAGGGCATGATATATATCTGATTCATCTTGGAATACCTCCATAACGCCTATTCCAGAAGTCAACAAATAAGAATGACAAAGTTTTAAACTTATATCAGCATTCCAGAATTAATATTGACAAATTCATATTGGCGTGTAACAGATTTTGGAAACAAAGTACTATGCATGTGGGTGTCAAAAAGAATAATGCACATTTCTGAATGACTGAAGGATAGCAGATGACTTCAAAGCCACTAGCAGACTGTTTACTTTTTCTGGGATCAAGGACCCTGCATGGATAAAAGGCAAAGGAAGTCATCCACCTTGAAAAAAATTTTTTTCTTAAAATAGAGGTTTGCTATCTAAAGCTCCTTTAATTCCTAGGTTTAGCTCTATGAAATCATTCTCTTTGATGTTTAATCATCCCAAATCCTATAATAATAATTTGGGGAAAAATAGGTTGCCATGGAAAACAGAGTGGGGTAGGGTTATGAGTCTAGCATTAGGAAGATTTGACCTGGTTATAAAATTCATTCATGGAAGCACTGTGGTTAGAATTCATGGGAAACCACCCAGCATTATGCTTGCTTAAAGGAAGTAACAGGATATAGAGAGAGGTGCCTTCAAACAAAGCTGTTATAAATCTGCAACAGACAGTCTTAACACCTAAATTACTTAAACTAAAGCAGATGTTTTATGTATATTAAATTTGATGTTGATTTTTGTTTGTTTATATGTTTAGGTTAACAAAAGAAAGCAGAGACATTGGAGGAAAGTATACAAATAGTTCTAGATATGCTTTTCTTAAGAAAGAAATATTGTAATATAGGTGAAGGGCAGAAATACTCAACTGCTAATGAATGTAATTCCTCCACATTCTCTCATTTTACTCACCTTGTCTCTCTCATTTGCCTCAGATTTCGCAGTTGTAACAGGGATTGTGGTTTACATGAAAAAGTAGATTTTTTTTTCCTTTTAAATGGACATATATATCTTCAGATGTAAAACTTTAGAATTTCAAAATATGATAAAAATTTTGTCACTTTATAGGTTTTGATTTAATTTATTTTAAAAGTTTCACTATTCTTTTGATAGTAGCTGACAGATCCAATCCTGTTCCCATATGCTTTCTGCTATTTTAAAAGAAACAGTACACAATTGCCTCAGAGAAGCACCATGTGTTTCCAAAGTGTGAATCTGAAAACCATCCATCTGGGCATGTTGGCATCTTCCTGAGTTGTATGTGATTGAAAGAAATGTATTCAACATTTTGCAACTCTTTGGCTGCATGAGAAAGAGAATAAGGTAAGGAGATCTTTTCCCATTTCCAGTTGTTGAGAATCAAGTCTGCTCCTTTAGATTGGAATACCTTGCCCACTCTTCTGCCTGGATAGCCCCAAGCGTTCATCAAGATTCACAGCACCAGTTGCCTCCTTAGTGAATTCCTCTGTCACCCTAGCTCTGTATTTGTCACACAACTAACTCTATGCATACTCATATGAAAATGATTATTTACTTTGATTAAAATTATTTCTTCAGCTGTTGCTTCTCCTATAATCTATGAACTCCTAAAATGGAAGGCAGTTGGTCTTTAATGCAATTCAATTCAACGAATAATATTACAATGTTCCAGATACTAATCTAGAGGCTGCAGAAACAATTCTGAATAAGAAGAGAGCATTTTTGCCTTCTAGAATTCACAGTCTAGCTGGGGAGATAGAAATTGAGCAAGTAATTAGAATTAAAGATGATGCTTGGTAAGGAGTTAAGATAACTGCATCTGAAATCTCACGTAGATGAAAACAAAAAGTTTAAAGTTTAAACTTAACTTGAATATTGTTTGTATTCATGGTAGTTTTTGTCTTGCATGGCTTAGACATTTAGATTAATTTTCTAGATTGTTAAAATTATTGTATATATTTCTTGTGAAGGTATAGAACAGTCACTAAATTATGGGCCAGGCATATTGTTAGGTTTATGTGTGTATATACACACATAAGTTATATTATATATAACTTATAAATAATATTCACTTATAGTGAATTTATAAGCCCTCTATACCTGTTACTTTGTTTTATTTTGAAACTTAATCCTAAAAGTAAAGGTTTTTCTCAAATCACTTAAAAAGCAGATAAATTATATGGAATGAGTATAGCTTCAAATATATGATATCAAAATATGGCCACATATTCATCAAATAAAACCAATAACTTTATGATAAACTAAGAAACTGAGAAATATTGCCACAAAACATTAAAGGCAGAGTGAATTCCGATATTTTGATCATGTTAGAGTTGACTTGTCATTTTAGGCTGGCCTAACAGAATACCATAGACTGGATCACTTAAACAGCAGAAATGTATTTCTTACAGTTAAGAAGACTGGAAAGTCTAAGATCAAGGTGCTGCCAGATCCAATGTCTGGTGAGGGCACTTTTCCCTGTGGTGAGGGTTTGTAGATGACTGACTTCTCATTGTATTTTTACATGGTGGACAGCAGAGAGGGAAGAAGCTAGCTCTCTTGTGTCTTTTATAAAGATATTAATCCCATTCAGAGAGGCTCCACCCTTTTGACCTAAGTATCTCCCAAAGGTGCATCCTCCTAATACCAATATTTTAGAGGTTAATATATCAACATGTGAATTCTGGAGAGACATAAACATTCAGTCCATGGCAGAGTGTGTAACTGGTTCCATTGATAAAAGAACAATTCAGTAAAAACAAAAAAATAATAATTCCATCAGATTTTGGTTAAGTTGATTATCATAGAATTTGGCTCATTAATAAAATAACCTGTTTCTACCCTAAATGGGAATACTTTGATTAATGTTTCTACTTATTAGTGACCAAATTCCTCAAGAGAAAGCACTGTCTCTACTTTTTTCAAACCTCATTCATAGTATCTGGATTAGGATTCTACACAATATGAGAGCTTCGTCAAAGTTGAGTAAATCAACTTGGACCTCATTATTAAAATGCAACAACTTTAATTAATAGACACCCTTTTATTGATACAGGTGTCTCCTGCTATGGAAATTTTCTCTTTTAATGGAAATTATTTTGCTATCAAAACTCTAGAATTGAATTGAAGCACTACTCTTCAGACCAGAAAAATGTTGCAGAATATGCATTTCAGCACTTTTTGGAGGGCCGTAAGTCTGTACGCTGTTGGTAGGAAGAAACTCTCTTCTCTCCAGCAGAAATGAGAAAAAAGGGGAATTGTTACAAAATTAACATGGGACCAGCTTAAGAGATGTACTGAGAGGAAAAGAGAGATTAGAATATCAGCCAGGAGGCAATAATATAGAAAAAGTAAAGTTTTCATATCTTGACAAAAGAAAATGTTTACTTTGTCAAAAAGTTTTTTACATTGTATATTATGAATAAATTTGAAATTCAAATTATTGTCCAACCATGATGAATATATTTGCTACTCTGACCAGTTTTTAGAATGCTGTGATGAGAGTTGTGTGATCTCCAAGTTTGTATAATAAAGAGAAAACCCTGAAAATCTTTCACTTTGTCATGCCTGCGCTGAGGGCAGATGACTCACTGTATGAATTCAAGTTAAATCACTTAACCTTTTTCTCTTATTCAACCCATCTGGGAAGCTGAATACAAGCACTTCACCATGAAACAGATGGCGAGTGAGTCTAAGCTACATTTTCCCAGATTAAAAAAAGAAGAAAAATGTGTTATAAGGACTAAACGAACCAAATGTGGAAAAAAATCCAAGGATTACATGGAAGAGAGCTATAAGCTGGATCAGACCTTTTCACCTGTAAAAAAACAGTATAATGCTCACAAAATAAGTCCTAGGAGATGATTTGGGTACAAAATCAGTAAAATCTTTTCATAAGCATCATATGTGTAATGGGGTCATTAATGATGGTATTTATAGTAAGTAAAATGCTATTTGTTTGCTTGTTCATTTACCTGTATGTCTCAGAAACAAATTCTATAACTTTAGGATACTTTTAGGTTATCCATTTGATAACTGTAAAGATAAATGCTAAGAAAAACATCTTGAGAAAATTTATGAGACCCACCTAGATTGTAGCTCCAATGAAATTTAACATGTTTGAAAATAAAAACTTTCCAATAAGTTCTAGGATAATTGTTTTCTAATCTATTCTTTAAATGCATATAAATTGCTTAGAAGTAAGGCAAGTTATTGTCCCTTTCTAACTTTGGATTTTAATTTTATTATGAATAAAATTATATTAAATTCAAATGTATTTACATGTGAATATATCTGTCACATTTTATGGAAAGAAAATGTTTGTTGCAAAGAAAGATATTTTGATGAATAAAGTAGAACAATAAAAAGTATCTGCATCTTATTTCCTGACCAGTTGGGATAAAGTTGGGGAAAATTAGCTTACCATTTAAAAGACATGGTTTGTAGATGAGGCTGGATACAAAATCTGAGAAATTCACATTATTGACTTCCAGATAACACAGCTTAAAATCCAGACTGTCCCTATTGAAGTAACAATGACATTCTTCAAAGAAAAAAAGAAAAATTCTAAAATTTGTATTTCACCACAAAAGATCTCAAATAGCCAAAGCAATCCTGAGCAATAAGAACAAGCTGGAGGCGTCACACTACCAGACTTCAAAATATGCCATAACGCCATAGTAGCCAAAATAGAAACATAGACAAGTGGAGCAGAATAGATAACCCGGAATTTAATCCATGTATCTACAGCTAACTGATTTTTGACAAAGATGGCAAGAATATTCATTGCGGAAAGGACAGTCTGTTCAATAAATGGTGCTGGGAAAACTGGATATCCATATACAGAGGAATGAAATTAGGCTCCTACCGCTCACCCTGTACGAAAATCAACTCAGACCAGAGACACTGGAAGAAAACAGTAGAAATATTTACCACATTGGTCTGGGAAAAGGTTTTATGAATAAAACCTCAAAATTACAGGCAACAAAAGTGAAAATAAACAAATGGTGTTATATCAAACTAAATAACTTCTACACAGCAAAAAAGAAAATCAGCAGAGTGAAAAGACAACGTAGAGAAGGGGAGAAAATATTTGCAAACTATTCATCCGACAGGGAATTAATACCCAGAATATACAAGTATCTCAAACATCTCAACAGCAAAAAACCAAACGATCCCATTTAAAAATGAGCAAATGATCTGAACAGACATTTCTCAACACCATACAGATGGTCAATAAAAGTACTTTTTAAACATGCCAACATCACTAATTATCTGGGAAATTCAAATAAAAACCATAATGTATCATCTCACCCTAGTTAGGATGATTAATTTCAAAAGAACAAAAAATAACAAGTACTGTTGAGGATGTAGAAAAGGAAACTCTTATACACTGTTGGTAAGAATTTAAATAAGTGCAGCCATTATGGAGAAGAGTATGTAGGTTCCCCAAAAAACTGCAAATAAAATTACCATATGACCTGGGAATCCCACTACTGAACATTTATCTAAAGGAAAGGAAATCAGTATATGGGAGAGACATTTGCATCCCCATGTTTCTATGTTTATTATAGCACCATTCATAATAACCAAGTTGTGGAATCAACCTGGGTGTCCAACAGCAGATTAATGGATTAAGAATTTACAGTATATATATATATACACACACACACACAGTGGAATACTATTCAGCTGTTAAAAAGTATAAAATGCTTTCATTCACAGCAACATGGATGCAACTGAAGGACATTATATGAAGTGAAATAAGCCAGGAACAAAAAGTTAAACACTGCATGTTCCTATGACTCCTAAAAAAGTTGAGTCATAGAAGTCAAAAAGGCTGGAAAGGGTGTGGGGCATAGGAGGATAGAGATTTGTTAAAGGATACAATGTTACAATTGATAGAAAATAAATTCTAGAGTTCAATACTAGATGTAGGATAAATATGACTAATAATATATAGTTTCAAATTGCTAGAAGCAGGGTATTGAATATTCCAAACACAAAGAAATGATCAGTGTTTGATATGATGGATATGCCAATTACTTTGATTTGATAACTATATATTAATCAAAACATCACTATCTACTCCATAAATATGCATTACTATCATACATCAATTTTAAAACAATCATTTACAAAAAATAAAAGAGACTGGACTTTGGGTCTAGGGACTGCCTCTAAACAGAGGCTCCACTGTGGTTGAGGCAAATGATACCTCACTAACCCAATGCAAACGTCCTTTGACTGATTCTCAAAAGCCTCTTTATAAAGCAATATAAAAATATGTATGTTTTTCTTTCTTCAAGGAATCACTTTTTATTGAAGTTAGGTCATATTACTATTACCAAGAAATATATATGAGGCATTTGCTCATTATACATCATATCCAGCAAGTTTCCAATGCTTAGTATAATTTAGACCAATATTGCCTTTGATGGGGAAACCTTGTTTCCCTTAGACAATGCATATTGGTTTTCCATAACTATCTTGAATACCTTCATATGTCTTCCTTATGGTCTAAATACTGAATATAGACTTCCTATTAATTAGTACTACATGTCTCCATCTTTCTTTCACTAATGCTGAGACATGGCATGATACTTCGGTTGCATTAGGCTAAGAATCATTTCCAATTAATCACTATAATGAGAAGCAAGTTAATGCCCATAACTGACAGTGGGCAAGTAGTCAAACTCTCTTAAAAAAGTATATTTACATTTATATAGCCCATAATGGAATATGCAAAACATAAGCTTCATATAAACACTTTCAAATAATTTTTACTCTCTCCTTAAATCTAGCATAAAAGCATCTTTGTTGTTGTGTCTGTGATAAACATAACTAATGATGTCTTACAGAGACATTATCATTTCTCTTTGAATATTAATTTTCTTTGTATGCAAATCATACATTATTGTTCTTCCACACTGCACAGCAAGAATGGCAATACAAAATGGATGTATTATGAACACATCAGAAAGCTCTAATTGCTGGCTTCAAGTTTATGTATTTCATAGTTGAACTCACCTTGTTACTCTTGGTGGTTGGAAATGGTCTCCAAATAGACAGTAGATTAAGAAGGAGGATGTGAAACATCACCTGCTTAAATGAGAATTGTCTAGATTATTATCAAAGCTCAAATTTTATTTCAACTCCGCTATAGTATACTGTCACTTAAATTATAGCATTTTAGAAGAGACAACCCAATGTATGATTACTGACGTGACTGATGGTTCTATCAAATGAGAAAGTGCCTTTTCATGCTCATCTAGACAATTGCTGGTAACATTCTCAACATATGGTAAAGAAAGACAAAGGAAAGAAAAGAAAACAATTTTGGTATAGTTTCTATTTTTTAGGCACTATGTCAATAGCTTTTATTTTATTATCTCATTTAATCTCCTAACTCCCTCTTTGGTAAATAGATGAATAAGCTACAGTAAATTTAAATTACTAACTCAGATTTTGTTCTTTCTACTACTACATTATGTCATCTGCCATAAGGAGAAACTTACAGCTGTACACTCAGTAATGATTTTAGACCTCTTTACAGTGTAATATCTTCTTAAAGACAAGTTTGCTTTTTTTCCCTAATCTCAACCTAAGTTCCTAGTGCTCCAAGGACTTCAATAGTAACATTGCATTCAATACCCTGTGACTTTTCAGAGAGAGTTAGGATTCACCAGGAATAGTGCTTAGAAATTTTGTATTTCGACTCAAGCATAGAGGAAGAAATAGCAAGCATTTCCTTGGCCCTTTTAAAAAAACGCTCCTTATTTTCCAGTGTGTTGGTATTTTTATGTATGTGTCAATAATAATTTTAAATATATCATATTTTCTTAAATAACTGTCTTCCTTTAGTCTGAGTGCAATTTTTTGCTTAAATTTATTCTCTTGATTATGTGTGAAAACCATAAAGCCTCCAGGCTTTCATTTACAGGCTCCTTCAGCTACTGCTTTTTGTCTTTTCTTCTCTTAGAGTTTGCTTTACTCAAAGGTAAACTTCAACTTGTCTTTAAAATTGCAACAAAAGAAGAAGAAGTCATACAGCATTATTTATTATCTTGTTATAGCTTTCATATGTATGTTTCCTTTTTATTTTTATTGAATGGGGGTCTCACTATTTTGCCCAGGCTGGACTTGAACTCTTGGGCTCAAGCAATCCACCTACCTTGGCCTCCCAAAGTGCTGGGATTACAGGTGTGAGCCACTGTGCCCTGCCAGACATTATACTTTTAAACTAATATACAGCTAGAGTATTATGTACTGTCTGAATAATAGAAAATGAGGTTTTAATATAAGTGCTTTTTAACTTTAAAAAATCATTTTAAAAACCAAAAAAGTTAAGCCTTAAAGGAATAATAATCAAACCCTATAAAGTTACAAATAGAGTATGTTTCTTTTTTAAAAAAAACTGTAATTTAATTTTATCTTATTTTAAATTATAGGGTACATGTGCAGGATGTGCAGATCTATTACACAGGTAAATGTATGCCCTGGTGGTTTGCTGCACTTATCTACCCATCTCCTAAGTATTAGGCCCAGCTTGTCATATGCAATATTTCTTAACATCTAGGGTAATCAATAAACAATTGTTGAATCATAAAAGATGTTAACAGTCTAATGAGAACTAGATTTCTTTATGAGTTGGCCATAAAAACATATTCAAGAAAATGAATGTTTTCTCATTTTTAGACTAGAGCATCTCTGACAGCTCTCTTCCCCACAACAATTTAAATAATATGTAAATCATTTATGTACCAATTATGTTTTCAGTCAGTCTGTTTTCAAATATAGTCCCTTGAGATAGTTTTAAAGAGAATTCTACAGTAAAATAAGTTTTGCAGAAGTTTTCAGTACTCAGTAACTTCTTGGAGTTTCACATTGCACATTCATTCATTCATCTAATATTGACTTTGAGAGGATCTGTGGTAAAGAAGCTATTTACCTTTATTGGTCATGAAACCCTTTGGGGGCTTATTCATATTCTATGAAACTTTCACTTCTTAAAACAGACATTGGAAAATTTTGATGCAATCTTTTGCAAGTGGAAAGATTTCTGTAGGCTATAATGTTTAAGTAGCAGAGTGCTTAATAATTATTCTTGTATATAGAGGACAGTTACAGAGATATTGATTAAAA